TGAGCCAGGCCAGTTAAAGTGGACTCAGTTTGCACTATTTCTAGCAGTTTGGATACATCATGAGAAGGCTTGAATTGTTGGAAAAGACAATAATGTTAAGAAAGATGGAGGGAAATAGAAAGAGAGGAAGGCCACACGCTAGATGGATGGACTTTATTCAAGAGACCACAAATATGAGTTTGTAGGAGCTGGGCAGAGCAGTGGAGGACAGGGCTGGAGATGTCTCATCCATAGGGTCACTGCCATGGGTCGAGATTGATGGGAAGGCAGTTAACAACAAAAGAAGGTTGCAGAAGTTATGAAGACGATATGAGAGTTAGGAAGAGAAAGGAAAATAGTAGGTGTAAGAAGGTTAAAGTAAGTGTGAAGAAGGTATGAGAGAAGAGGAGACAAAGAAGGTTGGATAAAGGGATGAGAGAAATGTGTGATGGGAAATGGGTAGGTTAAAGGAAGGGTAAATAAAAAAAACATAAGAAGGGGTTAGGAAAGTTTGAAAGCGTGGATACCAGTAGAGAGGAACAGAAAGTGTTTTGTGAGGTTTAAAAGGATAAGGAAAGGACTGAGGGAGGAATGATTGAATATATGGAAAAGAGAGGTAATAGATAAGGAATAGTAAAAATGAAAGAAAGGCAAGTCATGATAAGTAAAGAATTCAATATATGCTATGTACCGTATGTATAATTGGTACTATGTCCTCTCACTACAAAGAGGCCTGTGATCTCATAGGAATGGAGGCATATTGGATTGCAAAAGAGGGGTCCTTGTTGAGATGCAAATGGACTTTAAATTTCCTGGACTTTGCAAATTTCCCAATAGCCACAAGGACAGAAGGAGGACAGACCAGCCTGCAAAAGAGACAATCCACTTACCATCTTAACTAAGGACAGAAACATCAAAATGCAGGCATCTGATTAACATCTCCAATGGTTTTTCTCTTGTTAGGTTTGTAAAATCTTGCCTGATGAAGCCAGTGGAGCTTTGAAAGCTTGCAACAAGTATATTGTGTATTTTGGTTGGCCAATAAAGGTATCATTGTTTGTTGAATTTTTGTTTGAATTTGCTAAATGGCCAACACAGCTACCCCTGCTTGGTACTATGTGGTGCTGTATGTGATGTTATTTTTCTTTTTGTTCTATACATTTTTAATTAAAAATATTTAAAAACAATAACAAAAATCCCTCTTATGACACCTCCAGTTGGGTTGGTATTTGGGAAAGTCCACTGACTGATAAACTTTGCATGTGGAAACATTAAAATGGGCATGAAGTCAAAGGCTTTCATGACCAGCATCCATAATTTTTGTCAGCTTTTTGGGCTGTGTGGCCATGTTCTAGAAGAGTTTCTTTCTGACGTTTTGCCAGTATCTGTGGCTGGCATCTTCAGAGAAATTTCTGATGGTTTTAAGTTTAAGGAGGATAGATTACCAGATTTGAAACTATATTATTATGCTTGTGGTTTAAATTGGTTAATGGATTGGATCAAATTGGAGAAGGAAAGAAATTTAAAATTGGAATGCTATGATAATGTGGATGGATGGCATGGGTACCTGATTTATGATAGGATTAAAGTACATAGAGATTTCAATTATCATTATGTAAGACGGTCCCTTTTAAGAATTTGGCAAAAGATTAAAAGGTAAATGGGAAGATATTTTCGGAAGAAACTTCTTGACAGTGAGAGCAGTTGGGTAATGGAACCAATTCCCTGGGGAGGTCTTCTTCTCTGGATGTCTTCAAGAAGAGACTGGACAGCTTCCTGCTGGAAATACTTTAGCTGGAGATCCTGCACTGATTCTGGGTGCTGCATCTGGTGCTGAAGGGACCCTCCTGCATCCCACCAGTGGGAGCAATGCACTGCGTGAGGACAAGAGAGATGGCCTTCTTTGCTGTGGCACCTGTTATGAGAATGCCCTTCCCTTAGGAGGCACAAATAGTGCCTATGCTGGCTTCATTTTAGCACCAAGTTAAAACATGGGTCCTTCCTAAAGCCTTTAGGGGTCTAATGACTTTATTCAATCTGTACATGATTTTAAACTGTTTCAATTTGTTTTTGTTTGTTTGCTGCTACTGTTTGCCTTCAAGTCATTTCCAACTTATGGGACCCTAAACCAAACTGATCATGGGGTGGTCTTGGCAAAAATTTTGTTCAGAGAGGGTTTGCCTTTGCTAAGAGAGAGTGATTTGCCCAGTGGGTTTCCGTGGCCAAGCAGGGATTCAAACCCTAGTCTCCAGAGTCGTAGTCTAACATTCAAAGCACTACAGCACACTTGTTCTCTTAGATTAACATCCTTTATTACTTAAGCTGACTCAGTTTACTTTCTTATGTTGTTTTTAAGTTATATTATTCAAACCAATGTGATATCTGCATCTATGCTATACCCCACCTAATAGATGTGCTGGGAGTACAGTTCCCATTATCCTCAGCCAGCATTGCACCTTGTTTGTTGGCTGCTGCTGTAGATCTAAATTCTAAACCATTTAACTATCTTTTACTTTTCTCCAAGCAGTCTTTTAAATTCAGATGTGAGAAGTACGTGGGCTCTCCAAATGTTACTAAGTGCCTTCAAGTCACTTTCAGCTCACGGCAATCCTGTGAATGAGATATCTCCAAGACCCAATATTCTCCGCTGCTCTGCTCAGGTCCTGTAGGCTCAGGTCCATGAACTCCCGGATTGAATCTAACCACCCAGCATTTGGTCTTCCTCCTTTTATTGCCTTCCACCTTTCCCAGGATCATTATCTTTTCTAATTATTTATTTCTTTTCATGATGAGGCCAAAGTATGACAGCCTCTATTTAATGTGAAGTTGAAGGCTTTCACGGCCAGCGTCCATAGGTTTTTGTGGGTTTCTCGGGCTGTGAGGCTGTGTTCTAGAAGAATATATTCCTGACGTTTCGCCTGCCTCTGTGGATGGCATCTTCAGAGAATCATCTTGGCTTCTAGGGAGAACTCTGGCCTG